CTGCATTCTCTGAGGTTTGAAAAGTGCTTAACACCTATGTAACCCAAACCCCATCAAGGAAGAGAATGTTGCCATCGCCCCACGAGATCCCTTCCACGGCCCCATCTACCTCCAGAGGTAAACTGTTGTGATTTTTCCCCCCACATTCTATTTGTTTTACCTGTTCTAGTCCTTAGTTTAAAGGACTCGCACAGAATGTACTTGTTTGTGTACAGCTTCTTTGACTCAGCCTAATGCTTTGGAGATTCCTTCATGCTCTTGCCTCTATCAGTAGTTGATCCTCTTTATTGGTAAGTAGTGTTCCATTGTATGTGTATACCACAGTTTTATTTATGTTTTTGTAATTCATTCTCATATTAGTGGACATAGTCTGTTTCTAGGTTTTGGCCATTAAGAATATAGTCACTATGAACATTCAGGGACAAGTCTTTTTGTGGACATATATTTTGATATTTTCTTTTTAAAATCATATATTTTGATTATACAAGTAGTAAATGCAAACTATAGGAGATAAATAAAACTGTAATGAAGAGAAGTAAAGTGTCATAATTACTGCCCAGAATTTTTTTTGTAACTGAAAACTCCTGAAGCTACGCTGTCTCAACCCAAATGAGTATTTCCTCCTGCTGGAAAGGCACCAGCCGACCACCGGCCACATGTTCACCTGGAGCATGTCCAGGTCATCATTTGGTTGTGATATTTCCCCTCTCAGCTGGCAAGAAGCAAAGATTCACAAAGGGTATTGCTTGTGACTGTCCCCAGAGTCAAGGATGGTGCCTGGTGAAAATTTAGTGCCCAGGGACTGTACTCGGGAGGATGGCAGGCACTTAGGCACAAGTGCAGGCTTTCTCTCCTAAAGCACAAGAGTTAACAATTACCTTCAGAAAGTCCGTTTGTCCCAGTGAGGGACAATGCCAGAGAACCAGTATTCCTTTGGGCTGTAAGGATGTGGAAAGGAGAAGCCACTCTAGGTGCAGGCCTGGACTGCGTGCTCATCTCAGCTCTGCCCCTGGGGAACTTAGAGACCCTTGGGCTGGTTTTCTCTGGGAAATGAGGGTTAGTTGCTGGACAGCCTCTTAGGCTTTATCTAGATCTGGGATCCTGGGCTGTTGAGCCTTTGAAATTCAGGAGCTTTCCGAGGTGCTGCTTAATGTCTCCATGTGAGTGCTTCCTAGTTCCTGTTCCTTTTGGCTTGGTTATATTCCAGGACATCAGGGCATCCTGTAGGGGTGCCCCACTAAAAGAAGCCGCTGATGTGTGAGCAGAGAGATGCAGATATACACATGCACACATGCGGCTCCAGGTTAGAGACTGGCTGGGTCAGTAGGAAGGCCATGGTGACTGAGGGGATGCCTTACCCTCTCAGTAACCCAGCATTGTGCCAGACATATACATACTAGATGACGCAGGAGAATGTGGAATGTGGGGTCTGGGAGAAAGTGCAAGTGGTCCATGCCTGATGCTGGCAGCGTGCATGGAGGAGAGACGTAAATCATGGGACCCTGTGATAGGTGCGGTGTATGGACATGGCAGTCACCTTGTGTTCATCTCGAGCAGCCCTCAGGTGCCATTGTGAGTTCTGGAGAGTGAGCCTGCCGCCTTCCCAGTGTGTGAGGGTGGGTATTAGATGTGTGCGTTGGTCGGCGTGCGCTGCCAAAACAATATACCACAGGCTGGGTGGCTTAAGCAACGGATGTTTATTTTCCTGTAGTTCTGGAGGCTGGGAAGTCCAAGATCAAGGTGTTGGTAGGGTTGGTATCTGGTGAGGGCTTCTCCCCTTGGGTGCAGACAGCTCTTTTCTCACTGAATTCCCATGACCTTTCTTCTGTGCACGCAGGTGGAGAGAGTGTGTGTGCAAGCTCCCTGGTATCTCTTCTTAAAAGGACAGTAATCCTATTCGATCTGGGCCTTCTGACCTGGTTTAACTTTAATTACCTCTTAAAGACCCTGTCTCCAAATACAGTCACATTGTGGATTAGGGCTTCAACAAATTAATTTGGGGGGACAATTTAGTACATAGCAACATGATACATCAGAACTAAGCCAGGTGTGCTGATTACCTGTTAGGAACTGAGCTCAGGACTTCTGCATTTCCCACGGCGGGAATCCCTGGCTGCTGGCCAGTGTGATAAGACTGTGATAACGCTGCTTTAACAATAACTTCTTTAGCATTTTGCAAAGTACCATCAATTACACTATCTAATTTAAGCTCCCCACAAACCCGTGAAGTAGATATTGTTGTGACCCATTTTGGATGAGAAGAATGAGGCACAAGAAGTTAAGTATGTGGCCCAGAGTCCAATAGTTCATCAGCAGTGAAGCAAATCCCTCTGCTCCAACTCTTGTAGACAGTGCTCAGATCTTCCTATTAACGGGCTCAGATTTCCTTTCCACTCGCAGGCTTCCTGTTTGCAAGATGAATTTAGGAGGCTTTGGGAAGTTAGTTGTGAAATTAAGCAGCTAGGCCTAGTGCATCGCATATGCTAAAGATGACCTCATAAGCAAAAGTGTTCCTAATGCGTTTACTGACCTAGTGGACAGAAAGAAATCTCCCTGAGTCTAATATCTAACAATTTGTGTTTCGTTTTTCAAGTGCTGAAATTAATCCTGTCTTATTCTGTTGATCAGTACAACAGGGTTTGGATTCCGGATCCTGAAGAAGTTTGGAAGTCTGCTGAGATAGCAAAGGACTACAGAGTTGGTGACAGAGTCCTGCGACTCCTGCTGGAGGATGGAATGGTGAGGGTCCTTGGTCATAGCTACCATGATGTCGGAAGGAGTCACTGGGGTGTGTGGGGGCGGGGACAGGCAGGTGTTCTCCATGGGAGCAGCCCGGGGGAGGGCACAGGAACAGGGCCCTAGAATGGCCAGCTGGTGCTATGGATCCACCCATGTGTTTATGCCATGCCCCCTTCCCTCCCCACACCCTGCCCCCACCTCACACTGCTGGAATGAAGACATAAAGTGCCCGTCTCTGGAACAAGATGCAGTGAACAGGTCTGTGCCCTGTGCTGTCTTTCTGTGGATTCAGCATCGTTGAGAGAATGCTGGAAAATGATTAACATTTCGGTTTCATGGGTCTCAGCACAGAGACAGAGAGAAGATGAAAAACTTGGAGAGGAAGTAGGTTGAGCCCCAGACATAAACTGGTTGAGAAAAACATCAAGATGGGAAGAGGAAGAGACATAGAAGAAAGAGATAGAAAAACAGGGAGAGGGGGATGTGGGAGGAGAGCGGAAGGAGAGAAAGTCAGTCTGTGGATGGATAGGAAAAGGTAAGAACTGGGCCCTCCAGGAGGGCGCATACTAGGGCAATTGGGGGTGTGACAGGAGACAGTACAAGCTGACAGGAATGCTCAGCTGTGTGTGACATTATGAGGTGTCTCAGTGTATGAGGTGAGGGAAAGGTGAAGGACGAGCAGGAAGATGGCATTTGTCCCAGTGGTGGAGCATGCCGTGAGGTGTGCCTGTCAAAGGCTGGTCATGGCTTTCCATTACCAGCGTCTGCAGATTTTGCCTCTGCTTTAAGTTATCCATCACGAGTCGTCCTTTCCCCCCATAGCTGTAATGACATCCCACTGGATCCAGAGCTAAGCTGACCTTATGTTTTTAGAATCAAGCATCTGGATGCAGAGCTGGACAAAGAATTCATGATCCATCTAGATGTCAGAGTTAGTCCAGGGAATATCACATGAGTATTAAAATGCTGAAATTTCCAAGACATGGAAATGGTCTCTGTAGAGACAGGATACAGCGTCACCAATCAGACTGTCCTGGATTTAGGAGTCATTTCCCGAGATCCTGGGAAGGGAGACAAACGTAGCAGTTAAGGGCATATCCTATAGAATCAGACTATCTGGATTCAAATCCTGCCACAGCCATTCACTTAGTTTGTGAAGGTGAGCACCTCAGCTTCCACACATGTGAGATGGAGTTAGTAACAGCAGGCACACAGGGCTGCTGAAGATGAGATGAAGTAATCCCCAGGGCATGTGCAAATGCAAGGGACAAAGCAGAGCGGCTGCTGTTGCCATTTAGCCTTTCCTTTCCCATCAGAATCTACTTGGGGCATTTATCAGGTACCTCCTGTGTGCAGTCAGGGTTCTGACTCGGGATCAGGTGGCTTTGGGGAGAAAAATCTCAAGGCAGCAGCTGCAGTGGCAGTTTGCTGCTTTAGTAATCTGAGCTAGGCTTCAGGTGGTGACGTTCCTGGCCCTGAACCAGCTGCCCAGAGGAGAAGCGGGAGAGGCAGTGAGATGGCAGGCAGCCAGACTGCTCTTTAACTTAACCTTTTGTACCACGAAGGACAAAGCCTACTTTGTGTAAGAAGATGTCACCTATGTCTCTACCTGTCAATCTCATGTTCTTCACATTCGAATTTTCTCCCAACCCCACACCAAGACTGTCTCTCTCTCCCTATCTGTTTCTTTCACACATAAAACACACACACACAGTTGTTGAACTGGAAAAGGAGGTTGTCAATTTAAAACAGATAACAGAAAGACTCAGAGGAAGTAAAAATTATGTATGAGCAGCACTTTATTCTCAAACATGTGTAGGGTAAGAATATCCTGCTTGGGGCAGGTCCATAAACATATGTGCATTGATAATGAGCAGGCAGCTGCTGTGAGGACTCGTGCCCAGATGTCCTGGATTGCCCTGAGCTGCTCTCCTTATGCAAAACAGAAAAACAAACAAACCAAACCCCTGTCAGTGTTGACAGGAGGCATCGTGGCACAGGCTTGAGTCAGCCAGACCCATCTTACCTGTGTGACCTTGGACAAGGATCTTAACCTCTCTGAACCTGTCTCTGTCACTGTTAGGGATGTCATGCCCTCTGTGGAAAGAAGTTTTGAGGAGCAAATGAAAATCCAGTGCTGAGTTCTTGGCATTGGGGCTGCAGAGTGGCATCTGCGTCACCTCATCCAGAACTAGGCATGGAAAGGAAGGCTGCCTGGGAAGGAAGGGAAACAAGCCTGCTGGCTGACTTTGCTCAAGTCACTTCCCCAAGCTGTGAAATGCAAGTGAAAGAAGGTAGAACAGGTGGTAAGAAGGTCGCTTCATGCTCTGGCATCTAGAAGGCCCAGTCATCTGTGGTATCAACACCATAAGCACGCTGACCTCTCCTTCACTCTGCTCAGGCAGCTACTTGAGGAACACACATTGGTGGAATCAGCAGAAGAGAGGCCGTTCTGGGCACGTTACTCAGCCCAGGGCTGAGGATGATAGAAATAGGCAGCCCTGTAGGGGAGCTGTGAGCCCTTAGGAACACGGGCGGCTGCGGACGGGCGTCACCTGCACCGGGGGCCTCTCAGAGAGACCACCGCATGCACGGGCGCCTTTAGACACTTCTCAGCACCAAGCATGTCAACTTTCAACAGCAATTGGGCAGCCTTAGGGCTTCAAGGGACCTTTGACAATTGTGTCATTTAGCAGCATAATGCTGTTTCCAAAAGAAAAACTTTCATAGCACCCAACATCTACCCATGTACAAGCTGAGCCCCTGGGGTAGAGCTGGGTTCCCACCTGTGTGGCTTCCCTGTCGCCCCTCATTGAGCCTTCTGTCGCTCTAAGGACCCCTGATCTGATCCAGCTAGTCTTTTCACAGTTGAGAGGACAGAGGCCCAGAGAGGGTGAGTGACATGCCCTAGGACCCACAGCCAATACCCTGATCCTCTGGCACCCAGAAGTCAGCCATGAAGATTATGTTCTCATTGCCCTACACAAATTTGTTTTTCAGAGTGTCAAGGATCACTCCAAAGAGGGCTAGATAGGAAAGAGGACAGTGATTCAGCAGAAACACCCAAAATCTTTTACTTCTGGAACTGTAACTTGATCTTTGTCCACAGGAGCTGGATTATCCCATTGATCCAAAATCTCTGCCTCCGCTTCGGAATCCTGACATCCTCGTGGGTGAGAATGACCTCACGGCCCTCAGCTATCTCCACGAGCCCGCCGTGCTCCACAATCTCAGAATCCGCTTTGCAGAATCCAAACTCATCTACACCTACAGTGGTAAGCGATTCCAGGAGAGCAGGAGTGACACTGCAACTTAATGTTTGCTGTCTAGAGCATCCCGATTACGTTTTATATGATATTTATGTTAGAATCGTTGGTTTCTGTCAAGATGAGTGATCACACCTAGACATTTGCTCAAATTTATACCTAAATGTTATAGACATTTCATCTTAGGGAAGTTGTTCCAGGTGGGAAGAATCTTCAACGAGAACTAAGATTGGAATACCAAGGAAAATACATACGAAGAAAGCTTGTGTTTGAGTTTCTTGTTGGATTGTATAAATTTATTACTTATTTGGGACAGTGATATTACTATGTTTATACTAAGAATTGCAAAAACTTCTCAGTTTTAGGGCATTGCCATCTGTCATCTCATCTTAACCTTCAGAGTAGCCTAGAAACGTTGGTGGCATCTGCAGGGAACTGATATTTAGAGCATTAAGTGACCTGCCCAAAGTCACACAGAAGGTTTAATAAGTGACAAAGCTGGGGTTTCTCAAAAGAACCTAGAGAAAGAGGTGACAGCAAGAACCCCATCACTGCATCCAGCATCTTTCCTCAGGAATCATCCTGGTGGCCATGAACCCTTACAAGCAGTTGCCGATATACGGAGATGCCATCATCCATGCCTACAGCGGCCAGAACATGGGCGACATGGACCCGCACATATTTGCCGTGGCAGAAGAGGCGTACAAGCAGATGGCCAGGTAGCCTCCTGCCAGACAGACCTCCCTCTCACTCTCCCGACACTCCTGCCTTTGCTGGACCCTCACAGTGGAAGGGAGATGTCTGGCTTGGTTTCATGAAAAGCGTTCATTTTACTGAACTGGGGGCTTGGTAAAGCAGACTGCCTGTACCGAGTAGCAAATGACTGTTGTATATACCTGACCTGCCTAAACCAAGTTTCCTGGTTTTTTCCCTTCTAGGTTGTCAGGTTGGTCCTATTAATCCGGGAGTCAGATGCTTCTCTTCCAGTGTGTTTGGTTGGGAGAAAATTGATTTATTCTCCCCTGTGAGGTGTTTAAGCTTTTTCACTCATCCAAGGCAGGAGACTCGAATGGTAGATGAGCACAGGTTTTAGCTGTAGGAGATCTGAGGTCTTATTCTAATTTTACCACTTGTTTTGTTTTTGTTTTTTTTTGTATGGCTTTGTGGAGTTCTTGTTTTGCCAGCAAATGTTTGTTACAAGCCTCCTGTGGCCAGGCACTGAGCACACACTCCCACACATCATTGTGGGTGCCCTCGGAAGAGCCTGCGATGAGGATGCCTGAGCTGTCAGATGACTGAGATTTGAAGCCATCCACCCAGGGTCGCCCAGCTAGAGGAAGGCAGAGCTGGAATCTGTGCTTGGATTTTTTGACTCCATGTGTAACTTATTTTCCCCATAACTGTCCTATTTTGGCTTCAATGTCCTACCCTGTAAAAGGATCTTTGTAGAGCCTTAACAGTTTGCAAAAGAGCTTTCACAGACATCTGTCTCCTTTGAGTTGTGCAGCACCTGTGACGTCAGCTGCCATCATTGCCCTTATTTCACAGATGAAGGAAGACCTGAGACACAGGATCTGGATCTGCTACGATTTACAGCACAGCCTTCATCTCCCTCAGCTTCAGGGTCTTCATCTGTGACCTAGATGCTCCCGCTCCGTGCTCCACTGCTTATAATCAGGAAAAATAATGGTGGTTTAAATAAGAGAAGTGCATGGTTCTGTCCCCTAGAGAAGTCTGATGAGCAGTCCGGAGCTAGCATGCTGTCTGTACCAAGTCATCAGGGACCCAGTGCCTTCCACTTCCCGATCCTCAGTGCTCAGCCCTCTTCTCTCTATTCTAGGCAACAGAGTGCCCCAAGGGAAGGTGTGCTCTCCTGGTTAAGGAAGGCTTCCCAGAAGCCCCACAGAGCACTTCTACTCACAGCTCACTGGCCAGGACCTCCTCACATGACCATGCCTAGCTGCAGGGGAGACTGGGACATGTAGTCTTTCATATGGGCAGCAACATGCCCACTAAAAATTGTATCCTAGTCCCTAAGAAGCAAGGGGGAGGACGAATGCTGGGTAGAGAATTACCAGTTAATAACCCATAACTTGGGACACCCGATCCCACATCCTCAGTCTCAGCAGGTGTCCTCCGTGCCTTGATGCACCAGTCAGGCCACAAGGGACTCTGACTCCCTCTCCTTTGCAGACACGAGAGTCTGGGAGCCAAGCAGGCTCTGCTCTTGAGGACACTAGCTGGACCCAAAGCTGCCCATTCCTACTCTGATGCTGTGACTAATGATGTAAAATCACTCCCTTTCCTGAGCCCTCATGGTCACGTGGAGGCTCAGGAGCAGAGCGTAGCCAAGCATGATGGTGTCAGAAAATAAAAGATCCTGGAGGTTCTGAAAAAAATTGCCAGTTACCTTGGCTTCTGCCACAGCAAGTTTCCTTCCAACACTAAAAAACCCCCGTGGTTCTAGGATTTGCCCTGGCCCCTGCAGATCTCTAGGGCATCTGCAAGATTAGCATCTGTGGCTCAGATCCTGACAGGCCAGGGCTGCTCCTGGGTGTCCACAGTGTGAGCTCGTTGGAGCTGCAGGGCTGAGCCAGGTTTAAGCTTGAAGAGCCAGTTTTCTCTGCAGGTCTGTCTAACTGTAACAGCAGAACTAAGCACAGGGCAGGCTCATGTCAGACTTGCTGATGCTAGACTGGGAGACAGGAGAGCCTGGCTTTAATAATCCCCATCCCACTCTGCACTGCTGAGGGACTCAGGGGGTGTTGTTCACCTCCTCAGCATCTTAGCTTCCTCTTTGGGACCAGGAGCTCTCCCTAAGGTCCCTTCCTGTGTTCACAGGGGAGCTGTGTGCTCTGTGCCTCTCTCAGTCACTGTTTTAGTCATCTGTAAAATGGATATACAGTGTGTGGCACAGGATTTTTGTGAGGCTTAAATGAGATTCCCTGTAAAGTATTCACTAGGCACCCGACACATAGCAGTGCTAGAAGGGTACTATAATAAGGTTCTGCCATCATCATCTTGTGAAAAGTTTAACATATTTCTTCAGATCTCTAACTTACGTAACAGAGCATATTGGCTTACAGAACATGCATGTTCCCAAGCATGTTTCAAATAATTGCTCTCCAAATAAATATCTTTATATTTAAGTGGGGATATGCAGAAGGGAGTTGGCACAGGCCTGAGACTGCTGTCTTTAGAGGTCGGCTTGCAAGGCTGGCACCTGGTGAGCCTCTGGGAACTTAGATTTCAGGAAGGTTCCCACCACTTCCTAATTGGTAAGAGCGGCTCACCGTACCTAAACTGTTGGTGTGAACAATGTGGTTCATTTTGAACACCTGCCTGGCTTCTGGGTGTCTGGAATTATGGTATGTGCTAGGCAGAGGATGCCTGTGTGGCCAGCCCCCAGTAAAAACCCTGGACACTGAGTCTCTGTGGAGCTTCCCTGGTAGACAGTGTGTCCCGTGTGTTGATATAATTCATTGCTGGAGGAAGTGAGTGCGTCCTGTGTGACTCCCCTGTGAGAGGACTCTTGGAGATTTATACATGGCTTCCTCTGCACTTGGTCCTTTTCCTTTTGCTGATTGGCTTTGTACCCTTTTGGTGTAATAAATCTTAGCTATGAGTACGACTGTGTGCTGAGTCCTCCCAGTGGATCATTGATCTGGGATTGGTCTTGGGGACCCTCAATACAGGGGACATAGCAAGAAACAAAGTTGCGTGTTCAGCAGGGTCACAGAGAAAAAGACTCTAAGTAAATTCACTGGCATGTTAGAGACAGTTACTTTAGAGAGAAGGAACAAAACCTCTTCTGGCTTTTCTGCGTTTTTCTTTTTCTTTTTTTTTTTACATTTTTTATTGATTCATAATCATTTTACAGTGTTGTGTCAAATTCCAGTGTTCGGCACAATTTTTCAGTCATTCATGGACATATACACACTCATTGTCACATTTTTTTCTCTGTGATTTATCATAACATTTTGTGTTTTTTTCCCTGTGCTATACAGTGTAATCTTGTTTATCTATTCTACGA